CAGAGTCTGTAGTATACTCTGTTCTAGTTATTATCTCCTCCATTTTCCATAGGGAGTAGTTGGAATTTGTCCTCATTGAACATCATATTGTTTACCGTTGCCCACTGGAAAACTTTGTTTAATCTTCTTGGGGGTTTTAACCGCGTCCTCAGCAGATGACAGCCTCATGCGACCTAGTATCATCCGCAAAGGATGATACGGTGCTGTGATGTATATCTCTGTCTATGTCTGTATGGGGGAAAAGGGGAATAAGAGGGGGGCGAGTACTGTGCCTTGTGGAACAGAGCTCTTCACTATGGCAGCCTCCGATTTAACTCTGTTGACCACTACTCTTAGTGTTCGATTTGTTGGAAGTTGAAGATCCATTCCCCACTTTCCCAGTTATTCCTTTAGCACGTATTTTAGGGGCATTACGCCATGATCGCATTTGTCAAATGCTTTTGCAAATTTGTTTTATATTACATCTGCATTCTGATTTCTTCCAGTGCATCCAAGGCCATTTCATAGTGATCCGTAGTTGGAGAGGCAGGAGCCACCTGCCCTGAACCCATTTGGCCCTGGATTGTGCAGATTTTGGGAATCCAGGTGATTTGCAATCCTGCTTCTTAGCACTCTTTCAAAGATTTTTATGATGTGGGACGTCAGAGCTATTGGTCTATAGTTCTTAGCTAATGCTTTGTTGCCACCTTTATGGAGTGGGGCTATATCCCTTGTTTTAAGTGACTGTGGAATTTCACCCATGTCCAAGCTCCTCCTCCCCTAGTGGTACATAGGGCACCGAGAGGGGTTTCTTGCAGTTCTTAATGAAAACAGAGTTCCACGAGTCTGGGCCGGGAGCTGAGTGCATGGGCATGTTGTCAATGGCTTTTTCGAAACCTATCGGAGTTAGGGGAATGTCGGAAATATGGCATTCATTTATGGAGTTTTGAGGCTCATTCATGAAGAAATCCTTTGGGTCGTCGATCCTCAGACCGATTAGTGGTTCACTAAACACAGAGTCGTACTGGGATTTCAATATTTTACTCATTTCCTTGTTGTCATCTGTGTAAGTCCCATCCTGTCTGAGTAAGGGCCCGATTTTTAATGTGGTATTTTCCTTGTTTTTGGCATATGAAAAGAAATAAATTTTTAATTTCTCTCAATTTCACTAATAGCTTAAGCTCCTCCTGTCTCTCCTGGTTCCCGTAAGAGTCATTTAACTTAAGTTCAATAGTTTCCACTTCCCCGGTCAGCGCCTCCTTTCGTGTATCAGATATTCTAGCACTCCTGAGGAGCTCATGACTCTTCGTCGTCCCTTTGTAGAGGGAGCATCTTTCTCTCTCCAGTTTACTCCTGCTCTTCTTCTTTTTTAGGGGGAAAATGCCTAGAACATGCTTCAGCTGCCAGGAAGTTGATCCTTTCAAGCACTAGTTTGGATCCATGTCATTTAAGATATCTTCCCAACATGTTTTGTTTAGGACATGGTTTACCTTGTCCCAGTTGATGTTCTTGTTGTTGAAGTTGTATTTTGTGAAGACACCTTCACAGATACATGCATTCTGTGATTAGGACCCCTACGCATGTACTCTGGATTTCTATTAGGTTGTGATCGGAATTAGTTGTTTTTTTATATTCTTATGTCTCTTATCAGGTCCCCATTATTTGTGAAGATAAGGTCAAGCGTGTTTTTTGAGTCTTGTTGGCTCCACTATCTGCTGGCTTAAGGTGTGTTTTTCGAAAAGACTTAGCTCATGTGTGTGTGAAACCCTTTTATCTGCGCTATCTCCGGGGATTGTTTCAGCTATAACATTATTTGCTACATTCTTCCACTTTGTATGCCTTAGGTTGAAATCACCAAGCAGTAAGATGTTTTGGGGATGGAGCTGGAAGGTTTTCCAGACAGTAATCATTTTCAGTACTGTTCCTTGAACTGTTGTGAGGTTGCATCTGGTGGCTTATAATACAACCACAATTTACTAGGTTTTGGTTCTCTATCTTTATTGATAGAACTTCAACTACCTCATTTGTTTGGGATTTAGCAACTCGGGGCAGAAAGAGGGACTCTTTGACATACAGGCAACCCCCCCCCCTTGTTGCCCGTTCATTCTGTCGCATTAAAAAAGGTGTAACACTTATCCTATTTCACTGTCAAAGTGATCTTTTGTGCGAGTTCTGTGAAGGCTGCAAACGTTGCATTAGACTCCTCTAGAAGTCCCCTGATAAAAGGTATTTTGTTGGGTTTGGGGGATGGCTTAAGGCCCTGTAATTAGCAAATATGAACGGACGTTGTATTCGTGTTTGTTGGGGGGATTTTGTATTTTGGCATCAGTAGTTGTAATTCTGGAGGGCCATGGGTGGCCACTGCTGCGCCTCCAGTCCAACAAGGCTCCAAGGGGGTGGAAATATTTTTGCTATTTCCTTCCATTTTTCTTTTTCCGTTTCTGTCACTAAAAATCACCTGGAGTTGGGTGTCGTAGTACTATTGTTTGTCTTGTGGGGTCTGTGCCTCCTGGTCCCTTTTAGATAGTATGCAGGGCAGTCGATGTTGTAACACTGCTTCTGGAGGACCGAGGAGTGACACATTTTTGGGTGAAAGAAAGCACAGGAAGAAGAACGACACTCCTTTAGACAGGAGGTCGCTACATTTTTTGAGATGCTCAAAGTTGCA